GAGGGGGGGCGTGGGGCTGAGCTGCTGCCTGCCCATGTGCTCATGGGCTGCCTTGGGCCTAGGCCCTATGTGAGCCTTGCAGGTACACTGATGCTCAGGCCTGGCTTTGCTCCATGGAGGATGTAGTCATGGGGGTGGGAGAGGGTGGCCTTGTGGGGTCCTGGAGGTGGTGTGTAGGGGCAGCCCACTGATACCTTTGAGGTCCTGTCTGTCTGCTCAGGATGCCAAGAAGGATGATGCTGTTCGGAAGGCCTACAAGTATCTAGCTGCCCTGCATGAGGTGAGTGGAGAAGCATGCCTTGGGCTGGCTGGGGAGGGGCCAGGTTGGGGGCGCAAGCCTTGTCTTCCTGCTGTTCCCAGAACTGCAGCCAGCTCATCCAGACCATTGAGGACACAGGCACCATCATGCGTGAGGTTCGAGACCTTGAGGAGCAGGTGAGGCCTGGGGGTGGGAGGGGAAACCAAGGCAGGCCAGGGGACAGCTCAGTTTGTCCCAAGGCAGGCTATGGAAGCAGATACAGCTTATGGCTGGAGTCTCTGCCCTGCCCCTTAGCCATGCACTTGACCTGGAAAAGGTCGGTGGCCTGCTCTGAGCTCCAGCTTCCACCCCAAAGGCTCCCATGCCTGCCTCCCAAGGGCGTTGGCAGAGGCTTCAGCTTGAGTATGTATGTGGTGGGTAATCCTACCACATAGGGATGACACACAAAAAGGCCTGGCAGTGGGACAGAGAAGACTTTGTTGGGGGTGGGAGGAGCCCAGGAAGGGCCCCGAGTGGCTATGACGGAGGGGTGGCAAGCAGGAGCTGGGAAAGAGGGCCTGCTTGCTGAAGGGACATCACTCATGTTGCCTAGATCGAGACGGAGATGGGCAAGAAGACCCTCAGCAACCTGGAGAAGATCCAAGAGGACTACCGGGCCCTTCGCCAGGAGAACGCTGGCCTCCTGGGGCGGGTCCGTGAGGCCTGAGGGGCCGCAGGCAGAGATCTCCCTCACCCCAGGCTTCAGCAGGGATTTGGGGTGTTGGAAGTGATGGCCAGGCGCTTGCCCTAGCTGTTCCCTGTGTTTGCTGTCCAGTCCCTCCTGCTGTGGTGACACCTGCCCACCTGACCCCAACCCTTATTTGGGGTGAACATCCAGACACTGGGAGCTTGGCTGCACTTTATTGGGGACAGTACTGGGGGTTGGGGCCTTTGATCCCAAATAAATGAGGGGCTCTGTCTGCAGTGTAAGCTGAGGCATGGATGGGGGCACAGGGCTCAGGGCGGGGCAGGGCATGGGTGGCAGGTGAGACCCAGGGCATGTTTTGGCGAGTCAGTGTATGTGACCATGTGTGTCGTGTGGGACTCGAGACCCACTGGGGCGCTGTGTGGGTGTGCGTGGTGTGCAGGTGAGTTCTAATGGACTGTGTGACCAAGTGTAAGTGGTAGGAGCTGCGTAAGACTGTGTGTGACTGGTATGTGTCTATGTGGCTTTCTAGGACCTGAGACCCTGAAGGCACTAAGGCTGCTTCTGTGTGGGTGTGTAGGCATCCCCCCTGTGATGCACCTGGGAGCCTGGAAGCTGGCTGTGGGAGTGTGCTTCGGGGTATGTGGGTTGACAGGCGTACTCAGGTGCGATTGTCCGTGTGACTGTGCAGATTTGAGGTTGTGTGAGTGTACTGAGACAGGCTCTTTCTTTGGGGGTTTGTATGAAGTCCAAGGGACAGGATTGTGACTTTTTTCAGCCCTAGGTTGCCTGTGAGTGCCCAAGGCAGGCTGTGTGTGTGGTCAATTGTGAAGGCTCAGTTTGCCTGGAGAGCCTGTCGTGGGGGGCTATGATGGGAGTGCGGGGTTGAGGTCCCTCTGAGCAGCCTTGGTGCAGAGCATATGATCCGGGGGGGGTAGTCAGCTTGGTAGTAGGGTCCCTGGCAGGCAAGACAATGCACGCACTTCTTGGTCGCTGCGAGTATGTCCAGGCCTGTCACCCCCGCTCCCAGCCACTTTTGCCCCATATGTTGGCCCCTGTCCTTCCTTCCTTTCCTTGGCTTTGCAGTCAGGGGCCAGCTAGGGGGTTGGAACACCTGCTGGGCCTCTGGCTCCTCTTCTTGCGGAATTCAAACTCATCCACGGTCCACACAGCCCCCTTTTCGCTCTCCACCCGCACGAAGCACTTGTGCAGGCTCAGGTTGTGGCGGATGGCATTCTGTGGAAGGAGGAGCAGCCAGTCAGGCCGGGGTGGAGGCAGCGGGTGGGCCGTCATCCTCTGATGTCAGCAGTCTCTACTAAAAACCAGCCTCCTGCCCCTTCCCATCATGTTTGCAAGCCCAGCCCTAGGCTGGGCCCAGTACTGGTAGCATTTGAGACCATCCTGGCCCTGCCACCTCCAGAGGTACTCACCTTCCAGGTGGCAGGGTGGTTTCTGAAGAAGGCGAACATGCGTGTGAACCAGTGATAGATCTCATTGAGTGTCCGCTGCTTCTCAGGAGCCTCCAGGATGGCCTGGAATTCAGGGGTGTGGGGGTAAGGGCATGTGCTCCCCCAAAGTTGGGCTGAGAGGGGCATCTGACATGGGGTGGAAATGGGGCAGGAGAAGGGAGGGAGGGCAATGGTGTGGAGGTGATGGATCAGAGACAGGGTTAGAAGTGGGGTGAGAATGGGCCGGGATGGGGTTAGGTAAAGGATCAGGGCTGAGTTTAGAGCAGAGTTCAGCTCAGGGTTAGGGCTGGAGTTAGGTTAAAGGTCTGGGATGGGGTTGGAGTGGGGGTTCTCTATAGGGGTGAGGTTTCAAGGTTTGGGAAGATTAAGGGCTAGGGGTAGGGTCAAGTTAAGGGCTTGGTAGATGTTAAAGGTCAGGGAAGGGGTTGGTTAGACTCAGGCTGGGGATGGACTAGGACTATTCATGGGGCATACAACAGGATGCCAGGTGGCATTAGGTTAGGAGTCAGAGATGGGCCTAGTTACCTAGTTATCTATTTTATGGGTCAGGGATGTGGTTAGGCTCAGGATCAAGAATGAGGTTAGTTGTGGTGAAGTTGAGGTTAATTGTGTATAGTTGTTTAGGGACAGGGCTGGAGTTAGGTGTGGAGTGAGGCTAAGGGTCAGGGTATTTGATCTTTTTGGATGTAGGAATGGGATTAAGTTAAGGGGCAGTTATTACAGTTGCAATGATGTTCAGGGTCAGGATGGGGCCAGGTAGGAGACTGTGTGGCATTGTGTGGGGGTTAGGTTAAGGTTCAGGTTTGGCGTTAGGTATGAGCCTAAGTTGAAAGTCTGAGTGGGCTTTGGTGAAGGTTCTGGGAAGGCATTAGGGAGATTCAGATGAAGGGGTTTGGATGGGGTGAGGTTAAAGGTCAGATAGGTGTTAAAAGGAAGAGGTTAGGGATGGGGTCTAGCTGGGGGATGTGTTGACATACTGGGGCACATCGGGGATGGGAAGGAATTAGGGTAATACCTAGAAGGGGTTTAGGGCAAGGGGCAGAGATCAGATTAGTGTCCGGGTGATTTTACAGCTTTGGAAGGCGGATAGGTATGGGGTTGAGGTGGACATCAGGAAAGGAGTGGGTTTAAGGCCAGCATTTGGCCTGCCCTGGCATGGGTGATGGTTTAGGTTTGGGGGTGGGGGCAGGTCTGAGGTGAAGCTGGCACGGGGAATCACATCTGAGGTGTAGTTTTTGTTTTCATGCAGGAGCCCTCCCTGGGGGTGCTCAGAGGGAGGCTGGAGTTTGGGAGGCAGGTCCCCACCCCGTCTTTCTCTTCCTTCTTGGCCTGCACTGCCCTGCTTACCCAGCGGATGAGAGTGGCATAGGTGAACGGGGGCCGCATGTTATGGAACTTGAAGTAGTCCATGTTGTGGAAGAACTCTGTCCAAGGGGGGAGAGGAGTCAGGCCCCACCTAAACCTCCTCACTCCCTCTCCTACCCTCTGCTCTTCCCATGATCAGTTACTGTTTGCTGAGCACTGGATGTTACTTGTGTCACTTACTCTGTACCACTCCCACCAAAATGGGGTGTAACCTCTCAGAGGTTTAAACTAAGGGAAGTAACTTACACGCCAAAAGAACGGAACTGGTTAAGTGGTAGAACCAGGATGACACTCAAGAGCCCTGATCCCTGTTAAACCCACAGCCCAGGCCTTTTGGGTAGTAGGGGATTGGTGAACTTGGGCAAATCACCCCATTTTCCCTTGAGGGGGAGAGGGAGAGTCCCTGGAAATTACATAGGTAGTTCCCTCCCTTCTCCTTTATGACGACCAAATGGAATAGCTGAAGCCCCAATGCCCAGGGGAGATAGGGCTAGACATCTGAGATCCTAATGGGAGCCTACAGGCCACGGACACCCGGAAAGGAAGCTTTGCAAGCAGATGTGCTTGTCCAAAGGCCAGGTGGTGGTGGTGGGGAAGAGCAGTATGGAGCCCCACTCCATTGCATGTCAGTCTAGGGGTCAGGGTTTCAGGGACACCATGCAGGGCACAGACTATTCTTACCTGGGAATGTACTATGTCCATGGCTGCCCCAGAGGTGCCTCCGCACAGCAAACAGGCCATTGGGGCCCTCCTGGGGGCCAGGCCAGGCCGGAAGGGTGGTGCCCGGGGTGCCAGCAGCTACAATGCAGCAGGAGCCCTTGTCAGATGACACCTGGGTGTGGTGAGGGAGAGGCTGGTGACCTGGAGGCTGAAACTTTCCACTTGAATTTTAAATAAGTGAGTGTTTTTAAAACTAAGGGCGCCCTGCCCTGGCCAGTGTGGCTCAGTTGGTTGAGTGTTGTCCCAAAAGGTCACCGGTTCAATTCCTGGTCAGGGCACATGTCCAGGTTTCTCTCTCATGTCTCTCTCTCCCTCTCTCTCATCAATAAAAAAACAAACAAAACAAAACACTTAAAAGCAAGGGTGCTCTCTTCTCAACTCCAGTCTGATATGTATTCCCACAAAGCAGCATGAGCTGTGTTTATCAGACTGTGGTGTGGGCACTAGTGTGTGTGTAGCTCACCAATGCTGGGGGCCGTGAGCTAGGGTTGAATTGGGCTCCTCTATTACCCAAGTCACTTATGTCTGCCTGGCCTCAATTTCCCTCATCTGGGGGTTAGGGATGATAGCAGTGCCTACATTACAGTGGCATCATGAGGACTAAGTTCACACCAGCAAAGGGATCAGAAGTGATGCCTGTGACCCGTCACCCAGGGCCCACCTCATGGGCATGTGACCTGTACAGCCAGCCATACAGGGCCCTCCCTTTGTTTAATGCTCTGTGGCTGCCACCTTGAAATCCAAGGCCTGCATTTTAATTTTGCCCTGGGCCCTGCACGTTATACAGCCAGTCCTGCCAGTGACACACGGTCTGCATTAAGTGTCTAGCTACTTGATGTGGCTTTGAAAACAAGGTTATGATATTTCAAGAGCTTAGGGTCAGAGGGGTTGTAAGTGGAGAGGCATAGATTCTCAGATCTGGGCATGTTTGGAGCTGGGAACGGGCCCACAGATCTCAGGGCCTGGGTACCAGCAGTCTGTGCTGCCCGTGAGACCTGGGGTGACTTACCACGGATGGAGGCATGGTCAGGGCCATCTTCCCAGCCAGGTGGGCCTGCATAGCACCCAACTTCTCCTTCTCCAGCACCAGCTGTGAGGACAGGCACACAGTGAAACCTCAACCTGGCCTCTTTCCACCATGTTTTTGCCGAGGCTATGTTCTTCCCTGGGAGTGCCCTTCCCCCTTCCTCCCTTTATGTTAGTCTCCATCCTGGGTGAGCTCAGCTTCTGGCACAGGGTGGACATAAGGTTTGCCCACCATCCCCCCACCGTCACCCTCAGCCCCACGTCACCTGCTGCTCCAGAGATTGCACCACCTCCCTCTGGAGGAGACACTGTGCCCTGCCCTTCTCATCCAGGAGATGGTCTGCCTGGCAGTGCCTGGGGAAGGGGAAGAGTCCATGTAGGTGACCATGGCAGACCTGGCCTCGTGGCTCAATGTTCTCAATGGGGAGGGCTCAGCCTCTAACCCCTCTACCTCAGTCTCCCTCTCACACCATTCCTTCAACACATGCTACTTGGTATCTCCTTTGTGCCAGACCTGAGCTGGCTACTTGAGCCTGGCCAGGGTGTTGGAGATGACTTAGAAGGAGGTAAGCTGGAAGCAGCCAGGTAGGTGAGAGCAGGAAAGGCATTCCAGATGGAGGGAAGGCCTGGTGGTGAAGAGGATAGGATACATTGAGTTGCCAGTGATAGTTGGATAGGGTTGGAGAAAGTGTGTGACTGTGTATGTGTGTGTGTGTGTGTGTGTGTGTGTGTGTGTGTGTGTGTGTGTTTTTGGTATCTGGGGGTATCTTGTATCTGGTTGTGATGAGGCTAAGAAGAGGCAGCAAAAGCCATTTTGAGGAGCTGGGACTTTGGGGATCAATAAAATCAGCCTGGTGTGTTGGCATGACAGGTAGAAGGGCAAAGCAGGTAGGAGTGTGGATTCTGAAGCCTGGCTGCCTGGGTTCAAATCCCAGCTCTGTCACTCAGGAACTTGGTAATCTTGATCAACACACTGAACCTCTTTGGCCTGTTTCTTAGTCTGTAAAATAATAGTACAGGTAAATAATAGTATACATTATTATGCCCCATATACAGATGAGAAAACCAAGGCCCAGGGAAGCTAAGCAACTTGCCCAAGATCTTATAGCCAGTGATGGACAGAGCCTGGATTTGAATTC